ATGGCCCGGCGTATTGCCTCCCACAATTAGACTCTCTTATGACTCCACGGTTGCTATGTCAATGAAAGCCCTTATTTTAAGTACTCAGATTTTTCAAATGAGAAAATATTAAGGTCTTTTTAATTCTATTGTTTCCATGAAATAAGCGATTATTACTGTCTTAATTTTATTGCATTCAAAACAGCTAAAAAATGAACTCAAAAATTCATTCAAAGTTATTGTTACGTTTCTTTAAAAATTATTTCAAATGGTTCAAAAAAGTCTTTTACGATTTATTCCTTGCTGAAATAATTTTTTTCCATTTTACTTTTTAATTTTTTGCATAAACCTTTTTCCAAATTGCATTACAATTTAATAATTACGAATCATTTTTTTTTCTTTTCTGTTTTATATTTTGTCATTATTTTGAAGTGCAAATGAAATGGTCTCTGAGTTTCCAATTCAGGTCTCTGCGTATAAGTGAATGAACAATGGAATGTTATTTATATCAAACCAAAAAGCTGCGAACACATTCGTTTGTTATCGTTACACATACACTCTGGCCATAACCCAATATTCAAAGCAGGAAAGCGGCAGTTCGAAGTGGCATTGACGAGAGAGCAGCCGGCGATTAATGCAAAAATAGGAGAAACAATAGAGAGCTCCAAATAGGCGGCGGTGTTACATAAATGGGAATCATCAGTTACGCCTGCTAAGTAAAGAAACAGCAGCTGCGACTTCAGCACCGCTCTTATATGTCACAACTCGACTTTTTGAAACCCAGCGTGCGAGTGCAACAAGCATAAAAGCACTCGATTTGCGGCCCCATTGTTACCCAACAAATTAAATTGCAGTAAAATTAGTTACGAACTTGCTCGTTTTCATGTTGACATAAACACCTAGGTCTCGTTTTTCACCCATTAAATTCTACTTATCCTTAACACAAGATTGATATGCTAAATTTCCAAAATTCCAAGAATCTTCTCTTTCTTTATTCTCAAGGCAAAAGAAAATTTTCTTTTTCCATGTAAGTTTGAAGAAATATAAAAATCCTTTTTTATAATCTTTCCTCATGAACAAGATAAAAAAAAAGTAATCACCCACCGTTGTTTGAAATGCTTTTAAATTAATTGGAATCGTGTTTGGTTGCGTCACCTTTGCTCTCTCGTTCTTGGGGAGTAAATGTAATATTGCAAAAATTATCGCGGCAATTGTTCTAAAGGTCAGACTTGCAACCGCAAAATTAATATCGGCAGCTATATGGATAGCTAGATAGGTCGCGCGTCATTCACTTATTGGATTGCCGCCGCCTTTATTGTTTTTATCTCGTCGCGCCTGTCTGTAATTAAATAACGCTGCCCAAACGGCATCGCAGTGTTGTTTCATTTTTGCAAATCAGAATGCTTAAGAGTGATACACAGTTCGCCTTAAATTTCGCTCTATATAGCTTTTTTTCGTGATATAATGCTTTACAAAAGCTATAAATGTATAAGCCAGCTAAAATAAAATTGTAACAATTTTGAAATTGAAATTTAGGGTGACATTGAAAAAAATGGCATGACTTAATTTATAATATGATCAGTTTTTTTGCAACTGAAAAACGCTAATGTACGTTTTACTTACATAGGAGAGTGAAATTGCTGAACGCCAGCAGGTGCTTTCTGCGATTTTCACTTTCTGCTTGCAAATAAAAGACTCGGCGATGGAAAGTAATTTCCAATATATGCAAAAATTTCAATTACCAGCGAGAGATGTGTTTCTATGGTGTACAGAGTTAATGACTTGTTAAATTTGCAGAGCTCATTCCACGCAGTTATTACGTGTTAAATAGGCCTCAGAAAAATGAGTAAAGTTTACTTTTCTTTTTAAAATAATGATCTGTGATTGTTACGAAGGATGAGTATTATGCAATCGTATCAACACAGTGAAAATTTGTTAACAATAAAAATCTACAACTGACTATTATACATGAATTGACAAGTCGTTTTTACTTTTTTCTGAAATTGACAGCTGTTATCAGTGCCATTCTGAAAGATTAAAAACGGCTCTTTTGGAATTTTCATAAAAATGCTTCAGGTCACATTAGAGACCAAAAAGTTGCCATTTTTAAAATAAGAGATTTTTCACCTACAATAGTAAAACAAATGTGAAGTATTTTAAGCAAAATTTTCAATTTTATTCAACGGTAAAATTAGCAGCCTCCGGAAAATCCAAGAAATGAATATTTTAAACTACAAAAATCAATTGATAACTTTTATTGCATTTTTGTGCAACATCAGGATTGTTATCATTACAATTGGTTTTTCCTTACTGCGAAATTCCATTTGGTGGTATTTTTATAACGGCAGCTGTGGCAATCGAAAGGTGGTGCATAAATTTGATAACAATATTGCATTCCACCGATCAATGCTAAACAGCTAGAGAATATGTATACAAAAATATGAACTAATATTTCAAACGGCGCCAGGCATAAAAGAGCCTTCCTTCAATCCTTTTCACTGCTCTGCCGGAGAGAGAAACCGCATATAACATTTACAAGCATATGCTGTCTGGCTGCTGGCAGAACACTATTAATTTATTCACTTAAAGTGCAGATGCATTCAACGCGATTTAGCGGTGGCCTAATTTCAGCAGGTGACTAAAATTTTAACAGCTTCTACCTGCATGACAAATGAAATTAAGAGGTTTAAGCGATCGCGATCGGTACAGATCTGCCTTGTTTTTTTTTTGTTTTTTTTTACTGGAAATTGCAATTTCTCTAAAATGTGATTTTTTAGCTGCAGCTTTAAACAAAACAAAGTAATATTTGTATTGTTTTTAGGGAAAAACAAAATTGATAACGTTTCGTTAGAAATTTTTGGAGGAATGTATGTACGTTAAAAAAAAAAGTAAAACGAAATACTTTCTATAGATGAGTGACTATAGGCTATTTTGCTATAAGTTATGAGTTACATACTGTATTAAGAGATTTTCTACTTATACTGAGAAATGACGAACAAAAGACACTGTCATATTAAATATTTTGTCTCATTTGCAAATTCAAATTTAAAATTTCTATATTTTGTTTGGCATTGTTTTGAAACATCAATAAATAATTTTTAAAATAAGTTTGGGTAAAAAAAAGGTTAGGTACAATGCTTAGCATTATTCAAACGATAAAACTCATTCAGGTCATATGGTGAGCCAAATTGATTTGTCAAGAGTCAACGTTAGAAATGGTTGTCAGGAAACAAATAAGATAAAATAATTAAAACTAACACTGAACATTTTTGAAAATTAAAGTAATTGCATAATGGATAGTTTAAAATGCAAGAAAAGTAGTATAAAAACAACAGTAAAAAATTTTGAATTTGTATTTGATTGGTTTTTTGTCCTTCTTAAATTGTAGTGCAATATTACACAAAATTAAATAAGACTACCTTTTATTATTTAGGCTCTTTAAATCAAGAGATAAATCAACTCTAATTTGTAAAAAAAAATTATTTTTATTTTTATTCTCCATTCAAATATGAAGTTCAATGATATGCTTAGGGTACATTTTCCTCATTATTTGCTCACTTTGCCTCTTAATTCCTTCCCTAACCTGTTTCGCCAACGGTCACAAATCACAAACGTCGTCGCGCACAAGCCAGACAATAAAATCAATCGAACTGTGAGCAGTACCAATATGACTGTGTAATTAACCCTCACGCTGCAGAAACGCGCCGCCTGCAGACTTTTCCATATAGCAAAGCAGTCGCTCGTGTGCATTCGACTGACTGACGACCTACATCAACAACACACTCACAACATACGCGACCTCATTTTCAAGATGATATAACTTTGCTGCTGCGCTGCCCTGCCAGTAAGCACTGCTTGCTTGTAAAAACGAGAATTTTGACGCGTGGTATTTTAGCGAATGCCATATGGGTCCGGCACTTTTCCATGCTGTAATGGTTCATTGCATAAGAATGATTGATTTTAATTGTTAGAACTTGACCCTTTCTGCGAAAAATTTGAAAAGGTTGGCGGAGTAAAAATTTGTAGACATCGGAAAGGAAATTCGACTGGACAAATTTTCTTCAGAATAGCACAGGACAGTAATTCGAAAATTTATTTTTTCTTTTAAATAAATTTTGGTGTTTTGCGGTTATTTTTGAAAAATATAAACAAGTATTTTTTGCTATTTTAATAGATAACGTGATTATATAAAACTCATTTGATGTTAACTAATTGCAGATTTAACTATAAAAAACTCTACTTATACCCTGTTTAATTGTGGCTAAACTTTCCCTATATTTGAGTTTTTGAATTTGACTTATTTAAAGGTTATTAGAGAGTTGTGTCATTAAATTATTTAAAATAATATATTAATATTATTAATATGATAATTAAAGGTCTCCGAAGTGATTTTATTAAAATGTGGCCAATGTTTGAATTTGACAATCCTATTAACGATTTTATGATTATTTATATAAATATAATTATTATGCGATTACAGGTATTTTTACTTTTCTCTGAAATTTTTTTCTTTAATTTTTTTTTCACAAAGCGGGAGTAGCGCGAAGGCTAAATTTGAGTCTTACATAGGACCCCTGATACGGAAAACACGACCGGGAAGGTTCTTGCTGTGATTCAATTGCACTGGCAGCGTACAATCAATTTAAAAACACAAAAGGCCGTGCGGTCTTGTCATATCGAACAATGACAATCTCGCCGTTGTTACTTCCTCTAATTTGAACGGCAAACTGCAATGAACAGTGAAAAATGGTAGCACGGGTCCGGAGCGGCACCGGCAAGATGCTGCACTAATTGAAATGCACTTTTTATCGCACATTAAAATGCCACTTTCTTCGACCTTGATCGTGTACATAAAGTGAAGTGAAGTCCGAGAGTGCACGACATGTGCAGCTCATGTGCATTGAACCACTTAATCATAGAGTTGCTCATTTCTTGAGCGGCGTTGTGAAATTTCACTTTTTAATTAAAATTAAAAATAAACGCTGAAAAAATAGTATCCAGCTCTTGTGGCTGTTACTTACCTATGCCGAATTTGGCGGAAGTTGCAAAAAAGAATTCGTTGGCAAAAAGGTCGTTTTGCCGGCGAGGTCGGTTTCTCAGGTGCTGCTGGCTGCGTTTCGCTCAGGTAGCCGCTGCTCTGTCGGTTAGGTGCTCGCACCACAAAACCATGCGGTAGACTAACTTAAGCAGCAACTCGCGAACACGCCTGCCTACGTCACCCGCGCACTTTTACTCTCTCGCTCGCTCAGCTAAGGATGCAGACAGGCACACGAACAGTGCCCTGAAGAGCGTGCACACCGCCGCGGCTCTTGGCCATCGAGACACCTGGCGGGTTTCGCGTACAACATTTTTAATTGTTCTTAAATTTGAGTTAATTATGAGCGTAACGCAGAAGGTGATCTCAATGAAAGAACCAGGGTTATAGAACGTCTAGTCATTAATTGAGATGTATGGTACCAATTCTCATTACGAGTGCACTATTTGTTATATCACACCATAAGCATAAAAGAGTTGCAATAATAATAATAACAATTAATGATAAAAAAATGGAGATTCAGATTATTTTCATAACGTACATAAATAAATATTTCCATCCATCAAATATTTACCCGTATTTTTTAATACACTTTAAATTTTTTTGCGTATGCAAAAAAATTGTCTTAAACAGTAATAATTACTATTAAAAAGTAAAAAAAAAAAACTCCAGATTATAATTTTCAAACTATGATTTGCTTAATAAAGCGACATTATTCGTTATTCACTTGATACAACGGAACCAGTTACGTGTTCGCAGTCATATAAGCAATTGTTGATCACGGCATCACAGAGACTAGCTCATTTCATTTTCAAGTGGGAAGTGGTCGGTGATCCCGGCTGGAGACAATGGACGAGCAAGTTTTACTTCCTCGTGCCTTGAAAAACGATCGACTTACAAACTTAACACTGACTCTTGTCACTCGCTCTCGCAATGGAAACGTCCGTCCGTTGACTCTGCCAAGGAGCCGCGTGGAGGTAGACAATGCAAACGAATTAAAATAACAAGTGCGCGGGCGACATTCATGTGGGTCAAGATTGAAGGAGGAAATGTTAAAAAAAAAAGAAAGTGGCAATGTGCGGATTTCTGCACTCGCTTATATGTTCACCTACACTAACTAATCCACTGTGACTGCTACGCAATTATTCTTGTCATTATGTGTCGATTAAATAGCTTATTTTAGTGTGTGCACCCGGATATGTAAATTGTGTGTGAATTTGCAAATCAAGATTAATTTTGGTGAAATCAACATTTGCATTTTTCGTTTACAAACGGGCGTTTGCTTGCAGGGGTATTTCCGATGTGTATAGGTTTAAAATTTGTGTCGGCATGCGGCGTTGCAGGGTTTCTCCATTGTTCCCGCAAATCAATTGACTTATTTAAGCCTACTCCTCAAACTATTGAGATTGCTTAAATTTTAAAATAAGTAATGCGGATCTGAACACATTTTTGCAAACTACTCTCATGCCTGTAAATTAACACTTCTTTCTTTGCAAAAAAAAAAAAACAACAAATTCAAGTCTTAAAAAATTATTTCATATAACGTTCAGGCTGCAGTGAGGCTCGCAGTGCACGGTATAAGATCTTTGAACTACATCATAAAGTGATGCAACGCAAAACGCAGCCAGATATCTCTAGCAGCTCTATGAAAAGTGCGTATTGTATACCGCGTGTATAAATTATTCTTGACATAAATAGCTCTCTGCATGCGTATGTACATGCACAAGTGCTTAGCAGGTGGGCGACTATTTTACTGCGCGACCCGCGGCAACAAAATAAACACGTAGCACACCAAATTGGAATGCGGCAGCGGCGTTTAACCAGAGCACTAGGCAGCCTCTCCGAGATCTAATTGATTCAATTCTTGCAGCCGCAGTCTGTATTTGTTGGGTAGATTCAGACGCTCAGATCACTCTTGCCAACGCAGCAAATTGCATTTTAATTCGGGCCGGGCATCAAAGTCCATTATTAATGTTTGTGTATATATTGAGAAAGCAGCGCAACCGAGCAATTGGAATTAGTTGGCACACTTCACACGTTACTTCCCACCTTAAAAGGCTGAGCGCTCTTTTGTAGACAAAAATTATAAGACCGCCCAAGGCCAAATTCTGTATGTTTTCAATACACAATATAACATGCATTCCAATGCACTGTAAACTGTAACAGAAATTGCAATCTTCTAGCTGGATTTCTCTTTTAGCATGACTAAATGAACCAAAAAAAAGACAAAATAATTAGAGCTGAGAGGATTTGTATTTAAATATGAAGATAATTTATTCAATTTATATAAAAAAAAATGTTCAAATGTATATTTTTCTGTATGACGAGTTGACCAGTTCATGTTACAATATTTAAATAATATTATTTCTAGTTTTACAACATAGAACATCCAAATAATATCGATTCAAAGAAGCACCCAATGATTTTCACCTGTGAAAACGATTGAATTACACCAATTAGTTGTGCCTTTGGGCCTTAAATTTTTGTTTTTAAACAACAGAAAATTGCATCTTAAGTGTTGACCCATCAGCAAAGTCTTTCAAGAAAAATTACAATAATTAGAGATCCCTTATGCAAAAGAACACAGAAGAGACAAGACAGACCAAGCGCATTAAGTTTGAGAGCAACACAACCTAATCAGAGATTGCAGGATGGCGGTTATTGTCCATGTGATTTACAAAAAAAATCAGCTTCCAAGAAATCACTCCTAAAATAAAATTTTGATATTTTTAAACTTAACTTAAGACAACAACTCTGCCTTGGGAGTAACGAGGGCAGGTACACAATGCATTTTTTAATTACAAATTGAGTAAAGCTAAAATTTCCTTCAGCACTTCAACACTGGTCATCAGATGGCCTGCATCCCAGCAGCATTGTTTTCTTGTTCTCTCTGTTGGTTGGCAAACCTTTGAGTGCTTGCCCCTTGCCGGCTGGGTCTGGCCTCACTTCGCAACACTGGCCCATGCAGCTCAATGAAACCTTCTAGACACTTAGGCACTCTGCCCATATAATCTATGTTATAAGCCTTAACTGCTTTGGCCGCTATGCACTTCAAACTCATTTTGCTCTGGGCTCGCAAGATAATTTCAGCAACACCTGCAATATTTTGAATATTTTTTTCACAATTTTACTTAGCGATAAAAAAATTGACCTGTTGTTGCAGCATCAAAGGGAGTTTCCCCTTTTTCGTTGACTGTATCTTGGTGAGCTCCTGCTTCAGTCAAACCAACAATGATTGAATGCAACGTCAAAAAATCACTGAAAAATTAATCATTCAATACTTTCAATTCTTTACTTGATTATGTATCACACACCTTATTGGCTTTTGGTAGCTAACTATAAGATGCAAAGGAGTGTTTCTTGCATTATCCATTTGATTAACATCTGCACCGCACTCGATGAGCATAGCTGCTGTGTCAGCATTGGGAAATCTGCATTAAAAATAATATTATTCTCGAAACTTACATTAAAGGTAATGACACACTTACTTGCAAACGTCGTTGGTATGGAAATCGTCGACTGGAGTTTCAGCACTAACGGACAAGTGAAGCAAAGTTTGACCATCTCGAAGTGTGACTTTGAGCTTGTTTAGTTGGAAAACAAGTTTCTTGGTTTGGTGCAGACGCTCAGGATCAATACTTTTTCCCAGTTGTGTAACCAACACAAGGAGATAAAGAGCCGTCATTAAATTACTTTCTTGCTCTTCCTATAATTTTTGTATTTATTTATATTTTTTTCATTATTTTTTTTTTATACCAATTTACCTTGATAAGTTCGACATCATCTTTGGGACCAGGATTGGCAATTTTATCCTTATTTCTTTCCACTTCCACAACTGTGGCAGCCAAGACAGTTTCCAAGTAGTCAAAACTCAGATCCACTCCAACATGAATCATTTGAGAAAACACCTGGAGGAATCAAGCTTTATAAAAAAATATTCCATACATTTTCTTCTGAATTTTACCTGAGCAAATCTAAGCAGGTCTTTAACTACAGAAACCTTGTTGTTCTGCCGGAGTTTGAGGGCGTGCAGCCAGAGGTCGATGCAACGATCAAAGCGCGCATTGTCAGCAAACACTGCCCCTCTGTATATGACTGGGTGAGGAACTTCAGGGTTGTTTGGGCCAAGAATGCGCTCCCTGATGGTCAGACTTTCCATGTGCAGTGAATTGGACAAGTGCTGGATGGCGTCCAACTCCTCCAAGGTGGCGCACTCGACCCACGAGTCGTAGGCAGGGATTGGCTCGCAGTGAGGTTTCGGAAGTGGAGGGTCTTCATGGCGCATCACCATTGACCTCCGGAGGTAGTGATATGTTTTTTCCAAGTCGTAATTGTCCTTATCATTGGCAAAGGAGGCACCTAGCAATTCAATGGCGTCAATTTTCTCCTCTCGGATCACCTGCAAAGAAGTAAATTGCAAATAAATTCAATTTATAAATTAGTTGCATTACCTCTGGTCTACATATGAGATACTCCACAACCTCAGCCCTTGTTCTTTCAGAAGCAACTGTGAGTGGCGTCATACCGCTCTCGTTCCTGGTAATTTTACACCCGTAGTCAAGCAGCTCCTTGACAATGGAAGTGTGGCCACACTCGGCAGAAAAGTGCAGTGCCGTGGCGCCGCAGTGCGCCTTCTCGTTGGGGTTGGCGCCGCGCTCGAGAAGGAACGAGACGATGTCGATGTGGCCCTTGTATGCTGCAATCATCAGACATGTGTTGTTATACTTGTTGGCGATGTTGATATCCGCGTTGTGCTCAGTGAGGTACTTGACAATGTCCAGCCGGCCATCAAAGCATGCGGCTCGCAAAGGGGTGGAGTTGGTTTTTGTCAAGTGGTTCACATTGGCGCCAAAATTTACCAGCGTTTTGACAACAGTCAGGTGACCAGCACCTAAATCAGAAAGACATCAAATCATAAATATATCAATATTTCTTAAATTGAGACTTATTGTTTGGACCAATACTCCTTAATTAGCTAGCTGCATTTCAAGGAGCCTAACGGGGCTAGTGAAGCTTGTTAGCAACGATTCAATTTTTAATCAAAAATTGTATTTTTTATTTTACAAAATCTAACTTGACCCTACCGTTTTATAAATCTATCAGTAAGAGCATTTCCCTGTTAACATCCTATTTATAATTTGCTCTGTAAATAAATTAAATAAATGAAAACATTAAAAGAAAGGTGAATTTAATGAAAAATTGAAACCGGCAAACCTCAATGGACAGAATAAGTGACAAAAAAAAAACTGACCCCAAAAGACGACCTGAGGTCTGCTGGTTCTTTAAAAACATAGGGTTTCTTGTTCAAACTAATCTAGGTGCAAGGAATTAAAAAAAAAAAGGGAGAATCTGATTTAATACTTTCATTTATAAATTGATTCCTACCATTGAATGTAAACAATGTAACTGTTTGTAACAATGTGGCATTAATATAAAGAAGTTGATCGCGGTTCCAATTTTTCATTGGGTTAAAAAAAATAAAGTAATTTCTGAAGAATATAAAATGTATAATTGATAAAATTAAGAGTTACAGAAGCAATATGAAGCAATTTCTTGCTTGAAGAGTTACTGAATTATATTGGCTCATTTTAAATTTAAATTGGGGTTGCTACTTCTTCTTTTTGGCTCAAGCAGCCCTTTTTCACAGAATTTAGATCTGGTTGATTAGAGGAAACGTCAACTTCACACAAGACAAGTTTTGTTTTGACACGCGCACGCCAAATTTGAAATTAAAAATGTCCTTGAGCTAAAAAAAACGAGACGTTCTTTCAAATTCTGAGACTGCATGGAGAATGTAATTAGATTAAGTGCCGCGAAGTAGAGTCACGTCTTGGATCACTGCCAGCCACAATTTGGAACGCAAAACCCGCATTTATTTGGCAAAACAACTGAGAGCTTAGTTATATTTTCCGTCTTGTGCACGTTTTGAAAACGCAATTCAGACGCTGCATGTTTCTTAATTAGGACGCAAAATGATCTCTTTGATCTTTACCTGCCGCACACCACAGAGCGCTGGCCCCTTCGATCATGTAGCCGTCAAATTTGACGACTCCCTCCTGCTCAATGTCCACAGTTTTGAAGTTGCCGAGGATGATTTTGACCACCTTGTCGTGGCCATGGCGTGAGGCAATGATTAATGGAGTGCAGCTCTGACCATCTTCTTCCATGTACTGAAGGGAGAAGATAAAACATACATTATTTTGATTAATATTATTACCATTAAAATTGTTTTAGTTAAAAGGGCAGTTTGGTCTTGAAAAATGTGTTGCTTTTCTTTCTGTGAAAAGTTGTTGCAGAGAGAAATTCTAACACTTCTTTCTCTTTAATTGGTAAAAATTATTTCAAAAAATAAACATAAATGTCAAAACCTGGGAAATTAATAATTTTAAAATATTAATAATAATAATGTTAAATAAAATAATCTGATAAGATAAAAAGTTGAAATAAACAATTTAATGATAATTTTCATCAGTTTTAAGGGAAAAATATTCTGCAATAATAAATTTCTTGTGTGGTGCGCGGTAGAGCAGGTTTAACTATTTGGTGCACCGTTTTATCTGGTTTTATCTTACAATCAGCATTAATGTGCTTTCAATATCATGATGGATTCATAATTAATCGTTTTAACCTTATATCAAATTTTTTAAGCAGATGCACTCCAGCAAGACGAGTGCAACGAAGCAATCTGGAACAGCGAAAGCCATAACTTTCAACTTTGGAATTGAGCGTCCACGTCGGAAATGGACACACAACTCTTTGAGGGCTGAGTAAAAGCGATGAAAATAAATGCCGTCTCAGCCAAAGAGATATTCATCTGATGACTCCGCCTGATAAAAATAAAGCGCAGTGCATCCACCGCCACGCATGTGTATGTGGTACTCGGAGGTCACGACCCAGGAAACCCCTGCCTAATTGCACCGAGAATTGCCATTTTCGTGAGGATCAAAGGGTGCCTAGCGGACACTTAAGGGTTAAGTTGGAAAGGTTGACGTCTACAAACCTCGGCTAGAAGCTTTTCGGGGTTGCTTGTGTCGGCGAGAAGGGCAAACAGGGTTATGGCGAGGCCGTCGCGTGCTGCGTAGTAAACACGCTCTTTCAGCGACTCGGACACGCCGTCTTCCATTGTGTCCGCTCGAAGACAGCTCCCGGACGACTAGTGCATCACAGAGAGATCGCCACGGTTCTAATCTACCCTTAAAGACCGTCGCGGAGTGGATGATTAACAGGAAAGTTGCGTTGGTCTGCAGATCCCTTTTTTTTAGTTCAGCCTCAGCGGGCTCAGTATTCAGCTGCTTTTTATTTTGCTGCCGGTGCTGCCCTCTCTTGGCCCTACCTGCATCTGCAAGCTAGAGAATTACCGGTTTAGATTTTGAAGTGGAAAATTGTGGGAAAAAAACAAAATTTAAACGTTTTTAAGTGACTTTCTTCTAATAAAAAATTTAATTGACAAATTTACTGTAAAATTATCAATTATTTTACAGTTTAAAAACTAGTTGTTGTAAAAAAAGGACATCAATTTTTTTAAATAATTTTAAGATTTTGCTGAGAAATACCGATATTTCTAGGTTCATATTATTATTTTGTTATACAGTTTCTTCGTTATTCGTTAAAAAATATTGAATTAGATTTTCCGTGCAATGCAAACTGATTGCTTTTATAGTAGTACTTAAAGAACAAAAATATACAAATTCATCTGAAAAAGAAATCGTTTTTATAAAAACCGGTAGCCGTTAGCTTTTTACAAAAGAAATCGACTTATTTGATCAGCGATCAGCTGGCAATGTAAACAAAACAAAATCGCATGACATGACGAGTCACGTTTAACATCGCTAACATCTTCTACGATTTGCGAAATGTTCTAAGCCATGCTGTCGAGTCTCATCAAGAAGTCGAGGTCGATCATAGGCCTGGGAGAGAAAAATGCAGCTGTCGATGGCTTTGTTGAGGTTTGCTCTGCTGACAAGGCGGACGTTGCCACTGAGAGCTTCATGGATGCTGATGCCTTGAAGCTCAAACTTGAGGAGTTCAAGGAAATTGTCTACGGTAGTGAATACTTTTGCTTGGGAGAGTTAAAAAAAATAATTTAATTCCTTTCCAGAGAGTATAAGGACAATCAAAGATCCGGAGAAACCATCAACTTTGGAGGATCTCAATGTTGTTTATGAGGATGGTGTCCAAGTATGTTGAAATTATTGCTGTTCATAATAATTTTATGCGCTTTATTTTTTCTTCATGCAGTAAAATAAAATATTATACAATTTGAATGTACTTCAAATTAAAATAAAAAACTTTGTGCCAGGTTTTCAGCATGGAAAACAGTGACACAATTTTGGTCAAGGTTGAGTTCAACCCTACTGTTCCTCACTGCTCTCTTGCTACCCTAATTGGCCTCTGCATTAGAGCAAAGTTGCTCAAAAGTATAGTCGATCCTTTTAAACTTGATATTAAAATTAAGGAAGGTGCACACAACACAGAGCAAGAAAGTATGTAATAAACTTTTGTGATCTTGAATTTAACAATATTTATTTTTAAATTTTAGTAAATAGACAAATCAATGACAAAGAGCGAATAGCGGCTGCCATGGAAAATCCAAACCTGAGAACGATGGTGGAACAATGTGTTGAAGAACCAGATTAGTTATATTAATATTTTTTAAATAAAAATTTATTAACGTTTGGTTTTTTTTTAAATTGACCATTAAAGTGATAGTTTATATTTGTGAATAGAATTTTATCTTGTGAAGTTCATTGACCTGAAAATTTAATAAAAATGTCTGACAGCTGATGTTATTATTATTATTATAAAAATTAAATTTTAATTTCACAATTTTATTTGCTGTGTTGCTTCATTCACCGGCAAAATATGTCAATTGTTACTGATAAATTAAATTGCCTGCATAGAAAATTAGTTTGGAGGCAAAAAAATTAAATATTTTTTGCTTTCAATTTTTAATTATTCTGATGTCAGAAAAGTTGTTAACTATCTTGAATTTTGATGATCGGCAGCTGTTGGTTAAAAAAGAGCACACGGATAAATTCAAATTTTGCTGTGAAATAAATATTCACACTTGTAGTCTTCAAATCAGCGCGGCGGCCAGGAAAAAACGTTTTGTAATGAAATATGATTCGTGGCGCTCTTTCAACCTCTGTAAACTTGTCTCCATGCATGAATGATCGTTAAAAGAAGAGAAAAATAAAAAGCGCGCGGAATAAATACACATTAGGCAGCAGCCCATTAAAAAGTCCACGCCATTAACTTACTATACGGCGGCCGGAGTGCGAAGGAATAAATTTTAATAAGGTTGTTCTCTCTTGGCACTGCTGGAAAAATTTCCACCGAGCAAATTAAAAAAAAACCGCTCGCTCGTATTTATAGAAATTTATAGAGTGAAAACGCGCACCAAGTCAAAAGACGTACGCACAAATTACAAATAAAAAATAATTATATAAAATTTCAAATGTATTACGTTTGTCGGTTTGAAGCAGGGAGGGGGTGCCGCGTGCGCGAGCAAAATATCTGTCCGTGCGCCCGCCGCGCTCCATCGCCTCTTCATTCTCTCGGCGACCCTCGCGGAAGCTGCGTCTCCTCACCTGCCTGTGCCGACCCATGAGGTCTCAATTCTCACCGCAGGTTTGTCATTTATGCTTCTTTTTTTGTTATTGACTCTCGCTGCACACCTTGACTTTTGACTCTCACAAATGTGCTCTTTGTCCTCCTGCCTGCTCTCCAAGTAATATTCAACAGTAATTCAGTTTTACCACAAAGAAATAATTACAGATTCGTTACGGGGGTCTGTTCAGATAAATAAATTGTTAGAAGCTGGTGAGACGAACTGTTGAAGAAATCTGATGATTTTATCTGATCTGACTACGTATTGCTGAGCTCGTAAAAAAATTTGATTTGAAAGTTTTATCTTGAGCGTTAGTTTTAGAGATAATTGACCTATAATTTGAGGCGCCTATTATGATAATATCTTCAATTTATAATTAAAACTTATGTGAACTGAATTGAATTGAACTGATGTCCTGGAATTAATTAATTTGGACCTTTACTTGAATCTGAAATCATTTTCGGTACCTGTATACACAGTGGAATTCAGAATGCATCTTGATCCTTCTTCAAAACCAATCAGTATGAAGTATTATATTATTTCCCGAATTTAAAAATTCGTGTTTAATTCAATTGCTATAAATCGATTTTCGTTCGAAGTAAAATTAACAAATTGAAATTTCAAATAGAAATTAGATTTTTTATAATATCCTTCAAATAAATATTTTCTTGGATAATTTGGAAATTTTGATATTTTACTTGCAAAATTCGGCTCCTTTTTGCAGATATCTTCATTTTTTCCTGTCCATCAAGGTTTCCATTTTTTATACAAATATCTGAAAAAGACACTTTGTAAATAAAATTAATGACTTGTTGTAAAGGTATGTTGGAGATGTTTTATAAATGTCTAATGCAATAAACTTATAATTATCTAATTTAATCGTGACTTTTGTTGATTTTTGAATTACGATTGCGGACATGTTGAATTTTAAGCCAAAAGGAAGCCAATTAGTTTGCAAGAAGAAAAAAATACATTTTTTAATCCATTTGGCCTCCTTAAATGATTTTTTAAATTTTCTGGGAAAAACCTAAAAGAATTCAATTCATGTAAATAATTTTTAATGGCCAATTATGAAATAAAATTATTAATCCAATCAAGAAAGAACTGTGAAAACAAAGGACGTTTTTTTAATTATTTTGAACAAATTTTGGCATTAAAATTAATGCTAATTTATTTATTCTCCATCCAAATAAAACAAATACACAACATCTTACATCAAGTCAATACACAAAATTTAATATAAAACAATGGAAATACATGTATATCCAATAATAATAGTAAGAATATTGATCGAGTCAATATCCAATCAAAATTCTAGAGTTATAGACCGGTCAATTTACAATATGATTACAAGCTGCTCTATTAAACAAATATAAGCGCCCAATTCCTCAGCCTGTCCTCAACCTCAACACACACGTTATTCAAATGAGATGCTGAGACCTCTGGGACACTTTACATTTAATACAAAACAGAGTGCTCTCTCAGCAGCTCGGAGGGCTTTACAGTCAATAATTATTGATGAATGGTCTCTCGGCGGCCGAGTGAACATTAAGCTGAAATATTTCGCCAATACCGAAATAGCAAATTACAGCGAAGAGCCGCTTCTGCTGTTTGGCGGTTTGAGAACCCACGCATTGGCCGGAGAGGCATAATTTTCGACCGAACGCACCAAAAAGAGAGGGAGTTTGCGAATAGTTAAAAATCAGCCGGAGCAATTTTACGAGCGACTTTTAGTTTATAGTGTGCCATTTCTTGCGGAATTAAAACGGACAAACAACCGCTCCGATTCTCATTAAAATAAATTTTTATTTGAAAAAAAAGAGTGTATCTTTAAGATATATTTTTAACGTTTTTTAAATGGTTTGGAAAGAGTTGTACGCGTGATTTGATGTCTATACCGTGCTCACAATTAGTCTCACGTAGCAAGACGAGAAACTCGCGTGTTGATGAAAATATAGCAAGTTGCGGGTTTTTTCTTGCTCTATTTTTAAATGTTCCATTCCGCGGGGTACGAGAGCGTTTTATCGGGAAGATTAAAGAAAAAGGATTTCTTGTGTAATTCGAGCGGACACGTGGATGAGCAGCGGCTAGATTTTTGGGCCAAACAAATTTATTTATGGCCTGTGTGCGAAATCGATTCTGAATGCATGCAAATGAAAAACAAACAAAGGCTCTCTGAGGATGGTGCGCACACGGGAGCCGATGGTCAAAACGACCCTTTTTAATTCAAAAGTGCGAAAGCCAAACGTGCTGCTTTCGTTTCCATTAATTTCATCAGGCTCTCTGTGCTGCTGGAGCATAGCTGTCGTTGATTTTAATCTGGTGTAAATTGATGAATTCGCAACCAAACACAAGCGAGATACAACAGGCCAAAACCAGCAAGCTGGTAATTTCGGATGAGCTTGTTTTTGGGGTGAAAGCAATGAAATTTTATTGTATATTTCAATCATGCGTGATTAACATGATGCTTTTAATCACACCACAATATAAACAAAAAATCATATTTAATTTCTCTGAATGTTTGAAATTGCATTATTCCTTTGAAGTGCCGCCACAATTTACAAATTACAAAATGTGCAGAAACGGCAACACCTCTGACAAACAAGTTGCTAAAACGCGGGGCCTCAAGAGAGGTCCGCGCCGAGATGGGCCGCAAGCTAACTATTCGAAATTTCTGGTATTATTTTTTTTTTTCAATTTGTGCAAATAAAAATATGGTTTTTCTTTAATATCAGCAACACGTTTTGAGGTCTTTTGCGTTTTTTTACTATTGAATAAATAAATATTGTTTTGCTCAGAGATTTCCAAGCTATATCGTCTTCCTCAAAAGAATCTATAAATAAAATACAGAGTGCCAATTATTCGTAAATAACAAACAAGGCGTTGCGTGTGAAATTCAACACGCCGTGTCAAATTTGAACAGCAGGGCCAAGTTTGCACGTACTTGAGGGAGAAAGGCGCGATTAATTCACAACAACTTTGTCCGCATATTTTTCATAAGCCCTAATGTACACTCCATTTACTCCATTATTTTTTATCGATTTTGGTTTCATGTTTCAGAGAGCGCAAGTAATAATAAAGTCCTCTATTTTTTTTTTTTTAAATATTTGAATTTATTGACAATTTTAAATAAGGTAAAACTTACAATAATTATGAGGATGGAGATAAATTATTTTGTTATTTTTTTTTTAGGGAATTTGATGTAACAATTTGGACAAATAAACTACAATAATTATAATAATAAAGTTATTAGTATGAATTTGAAGCTATTGGAAATATCAAATTAGTAGAGTAGGCCATTTAAAGTTATTTTAGGAGTGATTTGAAAACGAATAAACTGATTGTTGACTAACAAACGATTGTTTGTCTAAAACGACAGAAAACGGACTTAATGAAACAAAAGCTTCATAATTCACATCAATTCAATTCTGATTTTATTGACCTATGACGTGGTTCAAGGTCTGGTCATGCAGACATTACCATAATTATGCCACTCATTTGCAATGCAGTAGATGTTAAACATGCGTTTTTATTATAAATTTTTATTTCGTTATATAAATGTTTTAAAACATGAAAATTTATTTTTTATTAATTTTTTTTCATTAAACTTTACTACATTCTAGATCAAATTCTTTGATTATATTGATTTGATATAAGATGTTGTGTTATTTAAATAAGATATAAATAAATAAAATATTGACAAAACTTAATTTTGGAAACGAGTCTCCTCGAGTGTCAAATTCTTCAAACAAAAACGCTAAATTTTCACCCACTATTTTAATTTTTATTTATTAAAGTCTCGATATCTTCAAAAAGACGCCTTAGAACCAAAATATTTTTATCATTTACCTAGAACTCTACAATCCAATGATATATTCCAATAATTTTATACATTTTCCCCCTTGTTATTTCCAGCAGCTAGCAGAGTGCAATGGACATCCAGCAGACTTATGTGTTCCTCTCAGCTCTTCTCCTCGCGTATTGCTCGGCGGCGTCTTCTTTCGGTAAGTGATCTGATCCAAAGTCTCTCAGTTGAACCGCACGGCGTGTGTGTATCATTATTATATTTGCGCGACGGCAGCCTCCTCTCGCGATTTATTTGCAGCATCCAGCCGCGAGAACACGCAGAGTTCGTTTCCGAAAGATCGGGCATATATTTAGGCGGCGAGATAAAATCTGTAAGCAGGACTAATTTATAGCGAGATGCCTCGTTAATCTTTTGAATATGATCATCAGAGAGGATAGCAACCGACGAACTCCATCCGCCGCCTAACGCGCGATTCTGTTGCGCGTGTAATTACAGCACCCGGCAGCGCTCCATTAGAGAAAAATTATTTTATTATGCTGCCATGGCTAAAGGATATTAGATAATGTTTTTGCCGGAGCCGCGTCAATTTCTGCCGCATTTGCACAACTTTATACTCTTTGGATGTTTTTTTCTTCAAGGGTTCTGTTCACGTGCAGCTCTTTAGATACGTTCTTTTACCAAGTGGGTTAAATCTGTGCTTTTCGGAGACAGAAGCGCACAGGGATCTTGTGATCAAGTAGCGAATCACTTCGGCTGCGAGACCGAGGCAGACGCTGATCCTGGATTTCCGCTTTTTTATTCGCAGCTAGTGAAATTCAAAATAGAGCCGTCGAGACGTTTCCCTTTGGACATTTGTATAATATATTATAGCTTTTTACATAGTATAGGATATGTGTTTTTGCGCAGGTTGGTTTATAGACCATCTGGAGTCTTCAATCGTTGGAAAATTAAATCAAGTGACCTGTACTAATTTGGATCGACGTTGCTAAAAAAAATTAATGTTTTTAATTAAGAATTTTTTTATCACTTGTAGAATTTATTCCAAACTTAATTTTGAAACGCAAAAATTAAAAAAAAAAATGGATGGGAGGAAATAAAATTATTATTTCAACGGAGATTCGAAATTCAAATTCACATGTCTAATTCAATTCAATAGATTTTTTAATCCATTTTAGATCAAATATTTGGAATAAGTCTTATTAAAAGTTAATTTAACATTCTATATTCATTCAAGTTTACAAAGCAGATATTCATGGATATCATAAAATAATTTGTCAAAGAGCAACTTCTTCGCTTCACTAAAAAATATATTAGTATTGTTTATTCGCTTCAGTCTCTCCGGAAGCTTGTTAAGATTTTTGAAATCATAATTTCTAGACTTTTTGTGTTGTTTAGCCGTACAGGTTTCTTTCTATTTAAAATTTGAAAATCTAGTATTTTGAATTTTTGAGGTTAATTCGGGCAAGTTGGGAATCAAAATCGATTCAGATTAATTTATGCTATTTATTATTTTCAGTTTTCTGGATCTATATATATGTTACAATTTACATATTATTCGACCGTCAAAATTTTAAAATTCTTGTGAACATTTTTAAACTTATATTTAGCAAGAAAATATAAATAATTTAATATCATTATGTACCTTCTAAATTTTTATCTTTTTGCTCTTGTATGCAACAGCTTTTGCATATTATTATCTGCCGTTGAATTATAAATCCTGGTATTTTAAGCACCTAACCGCAGAAAGTATAATCCGTAAATGCAACACAAATAAGTCGTTTATTAGCAAGTTTTATTGCCAAGCACTTTTCATTAAATCTCATCTTTATCTGCAAGTTAAATTACACAATTTTGAGTGGCCTGTTGGTTTATGGATGTGTCATCCCATATATAAACTACCGACGGCCCTGCTTTTATTATATAAATGTGTACTAACACCAAGACGGCTAAAGGATCGTCACAATAAACAGCAAGTAATGATGGGAAGCGTTTTCGACCGAGTGCTCAATTTATACTAATAAATCTCCCGGCCACTTATGGAGTAATCTGATTTGAAATTCAAACCGACGTGTTTAATTGAGTATTTATAAAATAAAAAAAAAAGAGAGGGACGCTCCTAAATTAAGTGCATGAGCGTTCTCTGAATAAGCAATTAACCAAAAAACGTGCTGGTATTTTAACTGCCATCTGTGCAAATAAAACTGCCTCATTTACAAGCCAGAAATAATTCATTTGGTACTTATAAAGAATGCCTCTCACTGGGCGATAAATATGCACCAAGCGAATTCAGCAACCTCGGCCAGGAGCTCATTTAGAAAAAAGGTGACACGTCAAAACGTGCGAGAGTGATTCACTCTCTATTGTCCCTTGAAAAAGAGAAAACAATATTTCATATGCAAATTCCATAAGTCCCATTCTTCTTTTTTCCGGAGCGATATTCTTGATATTCTTCCGTGTGTATTTTAATATGTTTAGGATGATTTATACCTGACACCGCAGCCAGAATGATAATTCATTTGCACCCAAACGTCACACAATAGGGAGGAATCTCCCGTGAAAAAAATAAAAACATACAAGAGCCGGAGGAAAAATGTATAAATAAAATATACGACTTTTCTACTGAAAAAAATCAAATTAAAAGCGGAAATTCCAATGAAAAAATGCTCTTTTAGGGGATAAAAGTTTTGTATAGTTGCCGCTCCTCCCCTGAGCCGCCCCATAATGTTATATTATTTTCGACCCCCCAGGAAGATGCGACAAAACTCTCGGCGGAATTATCTGGGGGCGCTCGCTTGCTCAGCGTAGAAAAAGTTAATCTTTATTGTGTATTATTTTTGGGAGAGATGCAAAGGACGGCCCGCCACACTCTCGCCTTGCGCAGCCACCAAACACAATGCCGGGATAATTCACACCTTTTGTTGCGGAAAAAGGTTCCTCTGACGGCGCCGACTGAGAGCCTCGAGAGACGAATTTTCGGTCCACTAGTCAAAGCAGAAGCAAACTCATTTTTTTTTTGTCATTTTTATTGTCGTTTGATCTCGATTGCGTGGTTTTTGTGAGCTGTCAACATGGTAATAGCTTTGGAAGAGATGCGTTGTTGCGATATAATTTTTTATGGAAGCGCTGCATCTGCAAATGAATGAGGGCTCATGCTTTCAATTTTCAATACTTGTTCTGCTTTTAACAAAGGTGAGCTTCTCGCCATCGCAAATGGTTCATTCTATGAATGGAAAGATGCGTTTCCATTTTGAAATTGTTTATTTAAAAGACAATAAAATTCTGCCATTTTTGCATTTTTCTATATTTAACAATTAAATTCAGCTCAACAAACAGCATAAATTTTTTTAGATCTATTGCCTATTTTTAAGTAAAAATTACATACTTATATGAAACTTACTTTAAGTTATAAAATTTCATTCACAAGAAAGCACACATCAGTAAAATAAATTTTGACACCTGAGCAAATGACCATTTTTACATAACGTGAATATAAAAATAAATACTCAACACCCTTGCGCGTTAATTAATCTCAAAATTTCTTTACTGCACCAAACAAATACAGCGGGTGAGTTAAATGAAATAAAAGAACGCAAACACAAAAGCTTGATCGACTGCTATCGGGCGGGGTCGCTTTTCCTTTGGTTAGAGACGCACATTAATACACGGCATTTTAAAACAAATAAACAGTGGATAAATCTCGCGCATGTTTGATGCACGACACTTCAATAAAACGCCAGCAGAACAAATAAAAAAACGAAGAACGCTCAGAGAAATCTCCAGAGAGTGTATATTAGGATAATATTTTCTCGATGGGTTGAAGCTCTAAAAGTCTCATCACCGGATGAAAAGGGCTTCGGCAGTTAGTGTTGAGCTCAGGATTTTATATTTGGGCTGCAGAGCAGAGGGTGTGCATCCATCACGAGCGCGCAGGCATCAACACGCTAACATAATTAAATTTATAGTGCCCTTGTGACTCGCGGGAGGAATTTTCTGGTGGTGCATCTGAAAGATATTAGCGTCTCTGATGGAGTAGCACAAAGGGCTGAAGCGACATCCATCCGCATGCACCACCAAGCAGCGTTGAGTATTAAATTATCAGCGTCTTCTTTTCACTCTTACCATCATTAATTATTAAACTATGAGCGTGGTAATGGGGAAGAACGTGTAGGATGAGCAAAAGGGTTTATAATTTTTTATTATAGAAAAACTGTGTTTTTGATGGATCTCATCACTAAATTTCATGTAACGAGGTTCATTGATCAAAATTTATAAAAATGGATGATTTTTATTTAATAGCTAAATTTTTTATCTGCAAAAATTGAGGATGACATCCGACAATCAATAAGCATAATTCGACAACATTAATATGTAATAATGACTTGAATAAATTTTAACTCATATGTATTGAATAATGATTAACTCATGCGGGGCACAGATCATGATGAAAATAAATTCACGGTGAATTTAACAATAAATTCCGTTGATTTTGCTCATTTCTTCAAGAAATTTTTGTTTGTATTGGTTTAAAATATTTGTTTATTTATTTATAAATAAATTGCTAAAGTTAAAAATCGCACTTCTTTTACCCAAAGCTTCACAGATATCTTTCAAAGCTTAAGATTTTACAATTTGATATAATCTTCACCTCAATTTGTCTCAAAACTCTCAAAGCTAAAGCCGATTACTAAAATTTGCTGAAAAACTATTATAGAACTGATAAGTTTTCCTCAATTCAAGATCTCGAATTTTCATTCCAGCTCGGGGCAATAAATTTTACAATCGCAGGAGAATAACTTATTTTCCTTCTGCAATATAGTCGGCATGAATATATCAAACGATTCGTCTCACTTTCGCACTTCATTTCGTGATCTTTTCGCGTCCAACACCTACTTCGTTTTTTTGAATTTATTTGTAGGAGGAATGGTCATAAAATTATATACCCGCGCTCTCTCGTGCTGTGTGTTTTATACTACAAAGAAAACGTCGGATTATTATTTTTTCACACTTGCAGACTCAATTATTAAGTAATAACCCGGCAAAGTGCGAGGTCAAGCATGTATAAAAGATGATAGTAATCAACTTGGCAGCAAGCTAACTACACTCTCTCGCTGAAATTGGCCGTGCTAAGGCCGGGCTCTGTAATTTGGCGCAAAATGTGCGCAAATATTCCGAATGAGCCCCCCTTTTATAACAGTC